GGGGAAAACTTCATTTTCAGGGGAAAAAAAGAGTCATTTTCAGGGGGAAAAAGTAATTTTCAGGAGAAAAAAGAGGCATTTTCAGGAGAAAAGACTCTTTGGCTGAGATTGTGGGGGAAGTGAGGGGAGGTTTAAATGCAGGAGAGAAGGTGGGATGAGCAAAGCCCGAGTGGGAAGATCTGTTGTTGTGTTCTTAACTGAGGAAATAATCGATTTATAGTCTGAATTTCAGTCTTATTTCCCAGTGTTTGGAAGCCAAGAAATCCCAAAGCTCTGTTGTCAGTGAACAATTCTGTTATAAATGGATTTTGCACTGAAGGGGTAGTGGGATAGGTCAGGCTTAAGGGGGGAAAGAGCAGTTTGAGGGGATGATGGGGAGTCTTAAAACAGGAAATCTGGGCTGGTCAGAGACAGAAAACTGTGGGGAACCTCCCAGGAGGAGCTGATGATTCAGCACCAGGGCAGTGTCTGCAGCCCGTGGAGCTGCACTCGGGTTTCTAGGAATGGGATCTGCTCCCTGGATTGATTCCTCCAAAAGGAAAAGATATCTCAGGGTCTGGGCAAGGAGAAGGGCACGAACACCCCGGGCTGGGCACAAAACCCCAGGGCAGAGGGTGAAAACAAACATTATCAAAGTCCTGTCGGGTTTTGCCCTCAGATCCGAAGCCGTGGGGGGGGAAGAGTTTGGTTCAGAGGGTGGAAACAAAAGCCACTGGAGGCTCCTGTGAAAACTTTTCCGAGCCAGGAATCCTTTTGTGAGAGCTCCAAACCCACCCCTATTCTCTGGGCTGTCTCTGGGCAGGCCCCGGGTCGCTCTGAGGTTTCATAACAGAGTGTGGGGAGCGCTGGCTCTGCCCGGAGTTTGGTGGCCAGGGCTGGACAGGAGGCCTGGATGTGGCTCCTGGCAAGGAAGGGAGCAGGGCAGAGGGAAATACAGCCCAGTGTGGAACAGTCTGACACGTTTTTAACTCAGTTTTACACTAATTTGTGCTGTAGTTCGCTGGAATCATAAAACCATGGAATGGTTTGGGTGGGAAAGGACTTTAAGGGATACCTTGTTCCACCCCCTGCCAGGGACACCTTCCACTAGCCCAGGTTGGTCCAGCCTGCCCCTGGACACCTCCAGGGATGGGGCAGCCACAGATGCTCTGGGAATTCCATCCCAGGAAGGAATTTCTCCCCAGTATCCCACCTAACCCTCCCTCTGGCAGTGGGAAGCCATTCCCTCTGTCCTGTCTCCCCTCTCCATCACACCCCTGCTGTGTTTAACCCCAGCTCCCTCCTGCTCTCACAGAGGTGTCCCTGCTGTAGGTTTTCCTCTCCACGTGTCCCTCGGGGGAATTCCAGAGCCTGCTTTAGCTATTAAGTGTTGTTTGCTCCCGATTTTCCTCCGGAGCCTGTTTTCCCCATCAGCTGCTCCACACGTTGGTGTTGGGAGACGAAACCTTTCTGCTGCATCTGCATCCTTGAACAGTCCTGGTGTAACAAAACCTCTGCAGGGAAAGGAAACCACTCAGATCTCAAGGAGAAAGCTCTTGGCAGCCCTTTCTCCCCGACAAACCCGCAGTTTTGATCCTTTGTTCTTGAATTTTCCAAAATTAAATTTTCCAAAAGCCGAGCTCTGCAGCGTCCTGAATTCCTCTCGAAGGCTTTGCTGCTCTCTCAGACTCGGTGCAAACCCTTTGAGTTGCTCTGTCAGTAATTCTCTGCTCAAAACCAGCTCTGGGAGCGGAAAAGGGACTGGCTGGGGGTTGGTTTTGCTCTCAGACAGATCATGAAAATGCCATTGTGGTCTGCTAGACCTATCTGGAGATTAATACCCTCCAGGGACTGAATTATCCCTTATTTCTTGCTAGTTTGCTGCTTTTTTCCCCCTCTTTCTTGGCAAATACAGGCAAAAAAACATGACAAAGGAGTTGGATTCACTCAGTAGAGTCCTGAGTTGGGGCAGGATTTCTTTTTTGTGTCTGTGTCAGCATCTCTGGGGGGAGGGAGATGAGTTGTGGCACCTTTGTGGCAGAACATGAGGAGTCACCTTGGCCCTGGCGGCGTTTTCTCAAATCCAGGAGCAAGAAACTCCATTTACACCTTATTTTTCCCTGCTGTAAAACAACCAGTGAGGGCAACTAATCACTCAGGGGAAAAGACAAGCCCAAACATCGAGCCTGGATGTGGGAAATGCAGGAATCTTGAGTCCTGGGGTAGGTTACAGGTACCCCTGGGTGCTCCTGCAGTGGCCACAGCTCTTCTGGAAAGACATGAAACACCCTGGTTTTTATTGGCTAAGCTGCAGAAGTGATTGCAAAATTAACAGAAAAATATCTCTCTCTCTCTCTCTCTCATGAATTGAACCAGAGGAAAGCGAGTTCCAGGGTTAAAACTGGGA